CTCCTTACTTTTACTTCGTGGGAGAAAATTTTATTAATGATTAATCAAATTATTTTACAAAGTAACGGGATCAAATAAATTTAAAAAGTTGTCCTTTTAAATAAATTATTAAATCTACTTCACTCGAAAACAAAGTAGAAATCACCTCAAAATTGTTACTATCAACAATTTACTGAGTTCTCGTTACTTTGTAGAACAGTTCAGTCAAATATTAAAATCAGTCTGTTCTATTGCAAATTTATTTCATCGTGCTCATAAAGTATTTTTACTGACAATACAATTATGTTCGTTTACCCATTAATAATAGTTTAGTCAATTTTATAAATATTTTATAGAAATAAATTCAATGTTTATTTAACACAAGGAGGATATTAAAGGAAGTTAAAATTTTTCTTGACGCAACCCGATAGTTAGTTCGTCATATTTAACTCCGAGATTGAGCTGGTTTACGTCAATTCGAGTTGAATTTCCTGATTTTTTTTACATTGTAAATAATATAAAAAGTAACGAATGTAATATAATGTGAGAATAAAAATAATAAAGATGCATGGTATTAGAAAATTCAGTAATGTTGAAGATACATAACATAAATTTACTAATACTTTTTGAACCTAGCAAACAGTATAGCTGATTTACATATATATTACTTATATGCTCTTTAATTTTATATTCCAAGAAGGGTGTACTCCTTTATTCTTTTTGGTTAATATATACTGCAAAGCATTTTTTCTATGCTACATAAATTTTTCACTATTCTTCAACTGATAGTAAAAAAAATTTATGTACCCATATATGTAGAAGATTTATAATCTCCTTCAAATTTTATTTTAGATGTTTCAGATTGTTTCATCTGAAAATACTGTTAGCGAATTTTGTTTGCCGTTAATATTCGTGATTGCCATTATTTTAGGTATGTTTCTAGCCAACCATATCGGACAGAATATAATAGATCTCAATAACTACGTATTTTATACTGCGTAAGAAACATTTCATATTGAGTATATTTGCACGGAAAGAACGATTTTGCTAAAATTCAGATGGCCAAATGTAGTGAGTTTGCAGTCATGTTGTTGATAATTGTCGAAGTAATTAATTTCGATAAGCTCGGTGTTGGGAATTATGCCTCGACTATTATGATTAGACTAGTTCTAATTTGCTGGAGGATGATTTATTGCGTAAATTGTATTTCACTGAGTACATGCACTCTTAACCGTTACAAAAATACAAAATTAGAGAGAGAAGAGAAAAAACGAATATATCTGCAAGATGGCTATCTCTCTGTGTTTTACGATCAACGAGCTCTTGAGCGCTGCTCCATCTGGTAATCTAGTTACTTCTTATACGCTCAATCACTATAGCCTGCTGGGCGTCTTAGTTCCCACTAGCCTATGCTTCTCTAGTGGATTCAAAATTAATGCTTATATCTAGCAAAAATAATTTGACAATAAAATAAAATTCGCAAGAGTATTAACTCCTTTACACTCGGGACAAGGTGATCGAGACAGAATTATGTTTATCGGGGACTCACGTTAATTCAAATTCTATAACAAATCGATGGCAGCATCAATTTGCTACTCGTAAAACAGACAATTTGTGATAGCAACTTTACAATAACTGGCGTTGTTAATTTATCATTTGTAATTAGTAGCAAAAATGTTCTTTCTATGTGCCTTTTAAGAATTGTTTCGACAGATGTAAAAATTAGTGTAGTTGCAATACAAATTAGCATAGCTGAAAATAACTGATAAGAAAGTTTCAATTGACAATTAGCGATTAGTTATTTATGTACAATTTCCTAGATACAACGTTCAGTGGTATAGAGCTCCGTTACATATACAAAGAATGATATTGTTTCTATTACAAAGAAAGGCTAAGGCGTTTACTCTGAATGTCGGTGGATTATTTGATGCGTCTTTGGAGAGTTTTGCCACGGTAATATAACACGAACAACAATCAATATCAACCATATTATAAATGAATATTGTGAAAAGAAATGTCTTTAATTGCAGTTAATAAAGATTTCGGTATCTTATTTTACTGTCATGTATTCCACGCAGTAACAAAATAAATATGAATCCAACAATAGAACGCGTGCGCGCGATAAGAATATTATAGTCTTTATCTTTTTTCCAATTTGAGGTATTAGAAAAAGATAAACAGTAGGTTAAACCGAGATTATAATTAATCTTACATTGGTAGAATCGGGTCTAAAACGTATGTAAACAAATTATTAGTAAAACTGTACATATCGTACAAATATAAACAACAGATTTAATTATTTTATTGTAGAAACAATTATAATATTTAATAGATAATGTTAGTAATATTATAACAATAGATATTTAACAAAATATACAGCAATATATTTGGAAAATGTTATTGGTCTAATTGATGGTTTATTGGTCTCCATGATTTAAATTGACATGAGATGTACTAATTATGATGCCGAAGAAAAAATATGGATGATAATAATGTCAAAGTCCAACGCATCATATTAGATGTTCTTCATACAAAAATGAAAGTTATTGCACCAAAAAAGAGAAATGCGCTTAAGTGACTTGTATCTTTTGATAAATGTATTTCTTTTCTTTTATTAAAAGAAGATATTCATTCGAAATTTTCTTGATGTTGGAATAATGCCTTAATAGCTCTTCTTGCAAAAAAGGTACTAAAATATGAATGAACTTATGATTTCACAATGAATATTTTGTATAGCCTCGTATTATACAAATTACGACATTCACACTAAAAATTTACACTATATGAGAGAATATCAAGGTAATCGATGAAAAAGGAGAAGGGATAATCGTACTCATCGATTACTTCGTAACCAGTCGCATCCCGGACATCGTAGAGAATGATTGATATAGGGACTCAGTATTTTAGCCTCAATAGAATTCTGTTACTAGTTGTAGGCTTATGGTCCTATCAACAATCTAAATTCACACGATTTCAGTTTATTCTCTTTTCTACTATTCTGACAGCGGGTGTTAAATTTCAATTAAGAATAGAGTATAATAGCAATATTGTGTGATAAGTTATCATTTTGTAAATCTTCATTATCAAGTAATCTATTTCATTATTACGTAATATAGGTGTTAATTTATGATTGTTTATAAGCATACAATTAAAAATAAAATTATTACTGGTAGTTGACAACTTTTAATGACATAAAATGTACTTCAAATCTTGACTGCAAGGTCCTGTCTTCAACGTCTTTCTTTATTGTTTGCACAATAAGTTACAACTCATTCTGTTTTAACATCAAAGCTGTAAGTTGACAACTTACAGATTATGCGTTTGGCAATACATAGGTCGTCTAAAAAGTTTTGAGCCTCAACATGAAGATGGCATTACTCGTCAAAACAATTTTGGTATAATCGTATGTACATACTTTAAAAGATACCTGCGAAAATTGTAGCTACTTCCGGCGCTTAGTTGTTGTTTGACAGTCATTTGTGCCAGTCAATGTCAATGTTTTTATAAAAATGGAAAAAATCGAATATCAGCAGTCGCCATGATAAAAATTCACGAATTGCGGTTCGAATTAATTGGTCATCCACCGTATTCACCAGATCTGGCCCCTAGCGACTTTTTTCTGTTTCCTAGGCTCAAAGTTTGGCTCGGAGGACAGAAATTTTCATCAAACGAGGAGGTCATCGCATCCGTAGACGCCTATTTTGCAAAGCAAGACGCTCAGTATCTCATGTATTATTTGAATAGATTAAAGGAGTGGGAGCATCGCTGGAAAAATGTATCGACTTAAAAGGAGACTATGTGGAAAAATAAAATTGAATTTGACCGAAAAATTACTTGTTTCTATGTTAGGCTCAAAACTTTTCAGACGACCCTCGTATATCCATGTCAAAAGAATTTTTATTATATATTAAAAAATTATTTTATATTATTATATAAAAAGACAATACATGAAATTATTAGAATAACAGGTTAAGGATTTATTAATGCAACTTGAGCATATATGTAATCAAGTAAAAGATAAAAACGAAGTTGCTATCATAGAAGAATATAATTACATTGCAAGACGTCACACAATTATACTTACAAGTAGAAAAGTATTTTTAGATCTAGACTTACAATTATTGTGTAACTTGTGATTAATATTTTTACATATTTTTATGTAGAAATATACGATATATCATACAGATTCTACTAAAGTATTTGCCTTATACATTTGGTTGTACGTTTACAATGATAAATAACATGTTAGTATGCAATTTGTGCAATAATATACTGTATAAATTGTATAAATAATAGAATAATTCTAAATATATATATATATATATAGAAATTAAAAGAATATTAAAAAAATAATATATAACTTTATAATATATATGTGTGTGCGTGCTAAATAGTATAAATCTTGATAAGTTCGTATTGCAGAATTCTAAATAAAAACGCTTTTTAATATTTTTTAGTATTTGCCATTAATGTTGAATTTGTTTGTACTATCGGTCAGTATATTTGTCGAATAGTCTCATTGATTTACCAAAGTATATATCTCGTCTACCAATTATGATGGAGTATTTTATCGATCAAGAAAAATACTTTTATTTAATTTTGTTGCTACGCAATTATATGCGTCGGAACAGCTGCGATATTGTATTAGCGCGCGCGTGCGCGCACACACGCACGCACGCACGCACACACACAACAGGAATTATGATTCTTACGTACTTTCAGTACATTTGTGGAATGTACTTTAGAATTGCTAGGTACGAATGAAGATGTAGGAATAATCATAATAGTTTAAATTGTGATGAAAATTTGTTTTTTAACATAACATATTAAAAAATTTATGAAATGTAGTTGAAAAATTGTGTCATTCAATAAATTGTTGTATAATTACGACATAAACATTTACAGCTATTGTATCGAGCATGCAATAAATATCAATATACGACAAAATATTACGCTGAAAACTAAGATTTTGATGAGCGAAGGCACAATTTGTGCCGTCGATATTCACCGACAAGTTATGAAGTTGGTATACACGCCCCCAATATACAAGTAGTATGTTTATTATTACTATATAAATAACATATTTCTGTTTTTGAAGATTGTCCAAACATTTGCAGTCTATATTTGAGGCATTGATGTTTTGTTTAATAGTAATTACCGTGACTTGCTTAACCCTAAATCTATTTCAAGTAAGTTTTCTGTTTCGTATTGTAATATATATGAAAATGCATGCAAGTGCTGCTCCGAAATTATGTGTATTATTAACAACACTGTAAATAGATAAGTCAATAATGCCAGAACTATAAACAATAACCATTATTATTATACAGTAAATAATATAAAAAGTAACGAATGTAATATATCGTGAAAATAAAAATATTAATCAGAGAAGATGCATTGTATTAGAATATTCAGTAATATGTTGAAGATATATGTATAACATTATATTTATTAAAATAATTTCCTGATTTTAGAAATTAATGAACGGAGTTGCTGATTTATATATTTTTTATACTTCGTATTTATATTCTAAGAAGGAAATACTTTTTTACTCTTTTTGATTATTATATGTATACATGCAAAATATTTTTCTAATTCTATATAACTTCATTATTATTCTTAGACTAATAGTAAAAATAAATTTATATATATATGTACACATATATGCAGAAGATTTATAATCTCCTTTAAATTTGTATCTTAGATATTTCAGATTGCTTCATCTGAAAATGCTGTTAGCGAATTTTGTTTGCCGTTGATATACGTGGTTGTCATTACTTTACGTATGTTTCTATCCAACTCACAGATGTCTATACTATATTACTAGAAGTGCGTTCAGGCAGACGCTATTAGTGCTATTTGTGTCATTCTATCATTGTTTTACGTTTAATAAACAACGAAGATAGAATGACAGAATAGCGCTATTAGCGTCTCCCCGAACGCACCATAGATTGCTAACAGTCGTAAATGACCTGGAACATGTTTTTTGGCACTGCAACAAGTATGATAAGGAGCGCAAAAGTATAATTAAGAAATTTAACCAAAAAAGAATCAAAACTCTCTTCGATGTTAAAGTGATATTTAAAAATCTGAAAATAGATCTGTTGGAAATTGTGACAGATTTTATAAATAATATTAAAATTCAAATCTAATTAATCAATTAGTCCTAAGTATAATATAAGCTGATAGAAGTATGACGTATATATTTTGTAAAGAAATATTCTTTTCTATTTTGATGTAAGATAGTATGTAAGCGATTACATCTTCATGCGAGCATTGTTCAGAGACTAATCTAATTTTTAACTCCTCGGAAGTATTATAAATGTTAAAGCGACACCTAGGCTAACGTATAATCATAGTTTTAGTCGTTGTGATTCAGCAAGGCTCTGTAAGATGGCTGTAAACTTCAAGTAAAGTCAATAAACGAATTATATTACTACAGTCGCCAATGTGCTGTGTGCGGCAGGATATCCGGTTTCAGCCACGTTCGACCGCAACAAAATGGCGGCGAGTATATGTATTAGTGCATAGATGTCATTTCTACTCATATTATTGCGATTTCATTGTCGGTGTGTTTCCGTTGCCGCCGTTGTCGGTATACGACATGTTAGTATTTGCTCGAGAATGTATTTCTCGAGTAAATAAGTATTACAATGCCGAGCACTTGCTGTGTGAAAAGTTGCCAAAATAATAATAAAAAAGGGTTTCATTTGTTCAGGTAAATTAGATATATATTTAGTAAATGTGACACTTTCATATTATTTGGAGGTTATGTCTAAACTGCAAAGAATAAATATTTCAGATTTCCTCTAAGTCGAGAAGACCATTTAAAAAAATGGATCGAGGCAATTGGACAAACAGATTTAAAGCCATCTAAAAATCATGTAATTTGCAGCACACATTTTACAACTGATGATTTTATGGACAGACCTGGTACAAGCAGTATTCGTTTGAAAAATCTTGCCGTACCTTCCATATTTTTAAAGGCTCCAGTGACTGCTCCTGTGATTGCAAGTACACTTGCTCCAGCGACTGCTCCTATATCTGAAAATGCACTTGCTTTGGCCATACATTCACAAACTGTGACGTTCGAGAGTTCAGAAAAAGAAGATAACGAAAATAATTTGACAGTCTCCAGCCTACTTTCAGAAAACACAGCTAGTACAAGTACTATCGACGATATAATTAAGATGACATTGGTAAAGAAACGGAAATTAATGAATAATTTCCAGTATCATTTTAAAAATCAGGAAATGAGTCCTAGAAAAAAGCAAATGAATAGAATTATTCAAACATTAAAACAAAAATTGACAAGAAAAGAAAAGAAGATACAATCGTTGCAGTGTTTACTGGCAGATTTACGGTATGACATATAATTGTAAATGCAAATATATCTGCAAGAAAATATTAATGAATTATAAAAATAGTAATGAGTATAATAATAACTGTAATTGTAATTATAATATAACTATAATTGTAACTGTAATAATTTTATCGTGAAATTTAAAGTATTTTCCTACAAATAAATCATGTGATGCATACATTTATCAACAGACAGAACCATTTTAGAAGCTGATCATGTATTGTCAAATTAAATATACATTCTCGATCGATTTTTTAAATAATTACTCGATATAATTACTTTCTCCTGCAATGTTTTAATTCAAATTTAATATACATTTTTTTTATATATTTATATTCTTTTATATATATCTTTGAGAGAATTTTTAAATAGATCTTTACTGCTTGCCTGCTTGCCAAGCACACTAATCTAAGATTGCTTGGCCGCTACAGCTGGGGTGCGTTCAGAATGAAAATTTTTCATTCGGACAAGGGTGTCCATAGGTAATATGATGTCACACACTTGGATGTTTTCCTTCTGAATGAACAGGACGAACAGTTTTATTGTCTAAAGCGTAACACAAGTGGCCGAATTTATGCGAGGTCTACAATAGTGATTGAAATTCAATAGTGATTGAAATTCCTTTGCAGTACTATTTAATACTGTATGCTCAATAAAATATTTTATTCAAGATGGAACTTTTTTTTCAAAATTTGACAGTTTCTCAACATATAATTCTATTAGCTCTTCTTCTTCGGAATCATCATTAGACTCGATATCTCTAAAAAAAAAAACGTTTTATATAATGTAATAGCACCTTGTACTATTATTAAGGTCACCTTGTTAAAGTCACCACCCTGATTGATCTTCAACAGGCTTTACCCGTTGTTCGTTATTCATTAAAAAGTTATTAACAAAAAAGTTTGAAAAATAACATCTTATCTCTGCTATATATAATATTAAAAACTATTTCATTTTCTTTCTTGCTTACGTAATGGCTTTCGACGCGAAGGGAGGTTCACCCCATCACCCCCCGTGCCAAGGGGCATGCGAAGTGACTTTCACTCCTACATCCTCCTCTACTAAGGGGCACGCGACTTTTCACACGAAATGAGTTTCACTCCATCTCCCTCGCAAGGGGCACGATTTTCCACGTAAAGCGAGGTCTTCCCCTTTGCCTCAATTCTCAAGCAAGGAAGGGTATAGAATAGTTTTTATTATTATATATAGCAGAAATAAGACGTTATTCTTTCAAACTTTTTTGTTAATAACTTTTTAATGAATAACGAGCAACTAAAACTTGTTGAAGGTCACTTAGGGTGATGGCCATGACAACATATCTTAAAATCAAACTCATCAGAAGGTGATTCGTCTATCATCTCTGCATAAATACCAAGAATTGTTTCATCAGATGTAGAAATTAATGTAATTGCAAAAAAATTAGCATAGCTGAAAAAAATTGATAAGAAAGTTTCTTTTGCCGATTAGAGATTTGTTATCTATGTACCATTTCATAGGTATAACGTTCAGTGGTATAGTTCCGTTACATATACAAAGAATAATACTGTTTCTATTACAAAGAGAAACTAAGGCGTTTACTCTGTTATAAACAGAGATGTCTTTAATTGCAGTTAGTAAAGACTTCGGTATCTTATTTCATTGTTATACATTCCACGCGGTGACAAAATAAATATGAATTTAATTATAGAATGATAAAATCATAGTTAATGAAAAAACGAGAGTACTCATATTTAGAAAAAATGATGAAATTATTTTTTGAACGTGTAGTTTAACCAGAGATTTTATTAAGAAAAATTTAAAAAATTAAAATTGTTTAAATAAAGATGTTAGTACATCAGACGTCGCAATGTATTTCAATTAAGTATTGTATGCATTATACCTCGTGTTCGCGCTTTACGTGCGCTCTCTTATTGGGTGATGTTCTATGCGCTGATCGCCCATTTTTCTTTCGCGGATTATCACCGCACAGATGCGGGCGGTGTGTGTGTGTGGCGCGAACATAGCGTGTCCGGCGCAGTTGTTGTTGGAAAAAAACCGTCGTGCGGTTGTGTCATGACGATTGACTTTCTGTATGGAGATATTCGCAATAAATGGAATTATACAGTAAGACTCTCGCCTCTCAGTAAATCTCTAAGGACACATCCTAAATCGAGAGTAACAAGTAAACTGTGGCCACAAGGCTAGTAGAAACTCAAGTCTAAATCAAAGGAGAAAATTAGCGTGCACATACGCAAAGGATCCCAAGATCTCGCACAACAAGTGCATCAACATGGTCCTTCGAGCCGGATTCTGTGAAAGCTATAGGTATTACTGATATCATGGAATTCTATCATTAAGGTACAAGATAAAACGCATCCAAATCTATAACACGAGTATTCAAGTTAAGGTTAAGCCTAGACAAGGTAAGAATCATCCAAGTCATAAGTATATTGTATCATTACCAGTCGCGTGGTTGCCTGTAGAAATCGAGATATAATTTATCGCATACGATAAGCTTAAGCAAAGGGTTCAAGTCAGCAAAGTCGTGAGTGGCCACAACCTCCAAATAAAATCACGCGTAAGAGTTAAACCCTTGCATTCACAATGGCTACACTGACGTTAACGGAAGCAAAAAGCAAAAAAACTCACATAAAGGCAGCAGGCACACGCCTAAAAACTAATACTATTGATGTTGCCACTAATACTATAGATGTTTCCACTAATACTCCCAATACTATTGATGTTGCCACTAATACTATAGATGTTTCCACTAATACTGTCCATACTGTCAATTTCACTACTACTGTTATTGATGTTGCCACTAATACTCCCAATACTGACAATGCTATTGATGTTGCCACTAATACTTCCAATACTATTGGTGTTGCCACTAATACTATAGATGTTTCCACTAATACTGTCCATACTGTCAATTCCACTACTACTGTTATTGATTGCTACTAATACTACCGATGTTATAGATTCTTCATACAGCCGCGAATTACTGGATATTATAGCATGTAAGGCTAATGGCGTTAAAAAGGCGCTAAAAAGACTGAGGATGACGTGGGATGACTTGCTTATCCATATAATTGTCTTCAAGCTGGACACAGCTACCAATAAGGCATGGGAGACGACTATTGTAGACGCTAACTTTCCTGATCTAAAAACACTAACCGAATTCTTGTCAAGGCGCTGTTAGGCTTTAGAAGCGATAAATAGTAGATCTAGTGCAAGCCAAACTAGTAAGTCTATTCAAATACAAGGTAATAAGTCTAAGAATCCTTCAGTCGCAAATATTGCTACAAGTAATCTTGCATGCACATTATGCAAAGAAAGTCATCAATTATATCATTGTGTAAAATTTGTTAAATTACCGGTGGAAGAAAGAATGAAGGTAGTAAAAAAAGCACATCTTTGCCTCAATTGCTTTAGATCATCATCTCATCAAGCTAAATTATGTATGTCGAGTTGTTGTCGCAAGTGCAGTAAAAAGCACAACATTTTGCTTCATATTTCCAATACCGGTAATTCAGAGCAAATTGCCGCCTCTAAAATAGATTTCACACAATCTAGCAGTTCAATTCCTGTCTCCACCCAGTGTGTTTCGAGTCATCTCTCTTCAAGTATATTGCTTCCAACAGCGGTCGTTCACGCTCATGATGCAAATGAGCAGGCACATCCATGCCGTGCCTTGCTCGATGCCTTGCTAGTGGATCGCAAATGAATTTTGTGACTCAGGAATTTATTAACCGATTGAAACTTGACGAGAGATCACTTACTGTATCCGTGGCTGGAATCATGGAGGGAATAATTCACGCAAATAAGGTTGTGAGCGTAAACATCAAGTCGCGTTTCAATAATCATCAAGAAAAAATAGAATGCGTAGTATTGCCAAAAATAATTCAGCGTTTGCCACAGTAATTTATGCCCATCCACAATGTAACGATACCAAGAAACATAAAGTTAGCCGATCCATCCAATTTCAATATACCGGCCAATGTTGATTGGTGCGGAGATATTTTGGACCATACTTTGTGTAGGTCAAATTAGGTATTCTAAAACTCTGCCAATTTTACAAAAAACACATTTTGGATGGGTAATCTCGGGTTACACTCCGAATGTTACCATTAATTCAATGCCGAGTATAAATTGTCATGCCATTGTATCGGATGATCTGAGTTTGTTACTTGCTAAATAGATTTTGGGAAGTCGAACACGATATTACTGCCCCTCAGCGGTCGGAAGAACAACGAGTGTGTGAAGAGGTATTCCTCAAAACAGTAAAGCGCAATGAAGAAGGACGCTATATAGTAAATTTACTTGTCAAGCAGGATGTCCTGGTTGGCTTAAGAGAATCACGTGAAACCGCTATAAAGCATTTCAAGGCACGACTAAGGTCCCAACTTAACCTCCATAACGAATACAAGAAGTTCATAGAAGAATATCACGCATTGGGGCATGAAGTAAATCACGAAGCAAGGAGCACGAGCTCTCCATCATTTTATTTACCTCATCATGCGGTAAAAAATGAAGCTAGTACAACTACCAAACTTAGGGTAGTATTCGATGGATCGTCCTGGTACTGGTTTTTCTCTGAACGATCTTTTAATGGTTGGTTCAACGCTGCAAGAGGATCTATTCTCCATCTTAGTAAGATTCCGTATCTTCAGGATTGCAATTACTGCTGATGTAAGCAAAATGTACAGACAGGTTTTGGTTAACCCGGATCAAACCTCGTTGCAGCGCATTGTGTGGAGAAACAAGATTGATCAACCTATAAAGACCTACGAGCTAATGACAGTCATGGTACATATGGTACCTTATCTGCGTCGTTCCTGGCGATCAGAACATTAAGAAAAATAGCAGAGGATCATGTTGTACAATACCCATTAGCGTCCAAAATCGCACTACGAAACTTCTATGTCGACGATCTTGTTTTGAGTACTGACACCGTGGAAGAAGCATCTCGGATGAAGAATGAATTGATTCAACTGTTGCATAAGGGAAAGTTTGAATTGAGAAAATGGTCCTCCAATGAGCCGTCCCTATGGGATAACCAACATGACCACCTTAGTCGAGAATTCAGCTTATCAACAGATAAGAGTACAGAAACGAGGGCTTTGGGCCTTACATGGGACTGCTTATCGGACTGGTTTAACTTTTCTAGTATCGGTCATCTCTCTTTATTGGAGAAACCCACTAAAAGAAGCATTTTAGCGCGGATAGCATTGATATTCGACCCGCTTGAATTGCTAGGCCCAGTAACCGTAGTAGCTAAAATAATAATGCAGGAACTCTGGAGATTCAAATCGGATTGAGATGAATCTATTCCATTAAGTTGCCATACGAAGTAAAAGCGTTATGAATTAGAGATGCAAGGTTTGAAAGAGAGCATACCAAGACTCGCCACATCAACTATGCAGCATTCACGTTTGGAGTTACACAGCTTTTCGGACGCGAGTGAATGTGAAGCTTGCATTTATCTGCGAGTAACTTCCATCAATGGAAAGCACTCGGCAAGCCTGCTATGCTCCAAATCTAGAGTAGCATCCCTGAAAAGCATATCGCTACCTCGATTGGAGTTATGCACAGCTTTGTTATTAGCGCAGCTAATGCACAAGATTTCAAGCTGTTTGTCCTGTAAAAATGCAATTTGGCTGTGGACAGACTCTAGTATCGTCTTGGCCTGGCTTCAGTCTTGCAGTCGCTCATAGACGTCATTTGTTGCTAATCGAATAGGGAAAATCCAGCAACTAATGCCAGTTCAATGTTGGCGACATGTTAGGAGTCAGGACAACCCTGCAGACCCTCTGTTTAGAGGTATTATGCCTAAAGCTTTGATACCATTGAAAATCTGGTGGGCAGGTCCGCCCTGGTTGGTTCAAGATACGGAAACCTGGCCACAAATTTCGTTCAATACCAGTCCCAATGATATTCTTGAAAGAAGAGCAAAGACTATTGTAACCATTTCTACAACTAGTGAAGAGTTTGACATTTTTACTCTAGGTTAACTAAGCTCATCCGAATCGTCGCTTATATCGTCAGGTTCTCAAGAAACACAATGCCGGCAAGAAAGGCAGCCAAACGCCTGCAAGCATCTTCCAAAAAAGTCATGAATGAGATTGAGCCTATTACACAGGAAGAGCAAGCACATGTAAGTCTGCTCTTGGTAAAACTCATACAGGGTAAACACTTTGCTGAAGAGCTAAAATCGCTTGCCAAACAGAAACTCATAAGCAAAAGGAGTCGCATATTGAAACTAAGTCCATTCGAAGATGAGGCGGGAATCTTAAGAGTAGGACATCTTAAGGCATCAAGTCAATCCTTCGCGACCAAGTATCTTATATTGCTCTCAGACCATCATTTTCTAAATTAATTGTAAAGTATAAGCACGAAAGGCACTTCCACGCGGGTGGCGCGTACAGGCCACCCTGGCTACTGTACATCAAAGATATTGGCTGATTTCGGCTCGGGATGTAGTTCGACAAATAGTTAGGAATTGCGTAGCATGCTTTTGAAGCAGCCCGAGGCCCGCTTCCACCATTATGGGTAATCTACCACCGTCCAGAGTTCAGGTACCCGCCAGAGCATTTGACAAGTGCGGGGTTGATTACGCAGGTCCGTTATATCATAAGGAAGGAGCCCGAAGAAACGTCAAGTTAATAAAATGTTACATAGCAATCTTCGTGTGTATGGCAACGAAAGCCGTACATATCGAGTTAGCAGTTGATTTATCATCTGAGGCATTCTTAAACACATTCAAACGATTCATAGCTAGAAGAGGCTGTCCATCGGAGGTATTCTCTGACAATGGCCTTAACTTCGTGGAAGTCGAACGTGAATTGAGAGATCTACGCCAAAACCAAGAAACGCAGAAGAATAATCGAACACAACGGCTAGTATAGGAATCAAGTGGCAATTCATCCCACCAAGAGCTCCCCATCATGGAGGACTATGGGAAGCGACTGTGAAGGCTGCCAAACGCCATTTGGTCAAAGTAACAAAAGATGCGCATTTAAAGTGGGAGAAATTAGAGACGCTCTTGATATTATACAAATAGAGGCGATTTTAAACTCGCGCCCTCTCACTCCGCTGTCCTCGAATCCGCGGGATCTCGGGTTTCTTACACCAGGATACTTTTTAATAGGTACACTTCTAACGGCCTGCTCTGAAGAATCTCTAGTAGACATTCCTGTAAACCGGCTGTCGAGATGGCAACATATCCAGCGATTGAGACAACAATTTTGGCACCATGAGTATTTACATCTACTGCAGCAAAGAGATAAGTGGCGAACACCTGAGTTTTCATTAAAGGTTGGTCAACATTATTCTAATTGAGGACAATACTCCACCCTTATCTTGGCGCATGGGAAGAGTCGAAGAAATACACTCTGGAGAGGATGAAGTGACTCGCACAGCTACTGTCCGTATCGCTTTGGGGAAGTACAAATGTCCAATTACTCGATTGTGTTTGCTACCTACTGAAGGTCCAACCTCAGATCATTCTTAATTTATGCAAGTTCTAACCTAAACATTTAACTTAACAAATTTTACCTGATTAGTATAGTTCCCATTATAATTAATTTTCTTAATTATGTTACTACGTATACTAGATTAATATATGTCGAGTTTAATCTATAAGGTTATTAATTTTTTTTTTGCGACATTGCAAATGTGCAATTCTTTTGAAAGATGATTCTTTCAAGGGTAGCGGCCTGTTCGCGCCTTATGTGCGCTCTCTTATTGGATGATGTTCTATGCGCTGATCGCCCTATTTTTCTTCCGTGGATTATCGTCGCACAGATGCGGGCGGTGTGTGTGTGGCGCGAACGTAGCGTGTCCGGCGCAGTTGTTGTTGGAAAAAAACCGTCGTGCGGTTGTGTCATGACGATTGACTTTCTGTATGAAGATATTCGCAATAAATGGAATTATACAGTAAGACTCTCGCCTCTCAGTAAATCTCTAAGGACACATCCTAAATCGAGAGTAATAAGTAAACTGTGGCCACAAGGCTAGTAGAAATTCAAGTCTAAGTCAAAGGAGAAAATTAGCGCGCACATACGCAAAGGATCCCAAGATCTCGCATCAATACCCCGAATCATCACATAGTTTCAATAAAGGTGTGAGAAAATATTCGAGGAAGGTAACAGCATTTCTCTGCACATGTGAAAAAAAGGAAATTCTACTTTAAATTACGTATATATTTTTGTTTAAAATATTATTCAAAAAATACGGAAACAAATATATTCATCTACATAAGATTGAATCTCGATTTGTTCTTTTTATTTATTTAATCTTTACCTTTTTCTAATTTTAAGTATGAGAGAGAGAGAGAGAGAGAGAGAGAGAGAGTATGTGAGTGAGTGAGTGCGAAAGAAAGATAAATAGTAACTTAAATATAGTAGTAACATAGATTATAATTAATCTTACATTGGTGGAAGAGGGTCTAAAACGTTTGTAAATATATTATGAGTAAAACTGTACATATTGTATAAACATAAACAACAGATTTAATTATTTTATTGTAGAATCTATTAACATTTAATAGATAACGTTAGTGATATTATAATCATATTTTACAAAGTATAAAGCAATATATTCCAAAATGTTATTGATCTAATTACCATGTTTTAAATTGACATGAACGTATTAATTACGATCAATGCCGGAGAAAAAATATGGAGGTTATCCATCTTAAATACCAAACATATCATGTGAGAGTTCATACGAAAAAAAAGTTATTGCACCAAAAAACAGAGGATATGTACTTGCGTGACTTCTGTCCTTTGATAAATATCTTTCTTTTTTTTTTATCAAAAGAAGATATTAATGCGAAAATTTCTTGATATTAGAATGCCTTAATAGTTCTTGTTGCAAAAAACGCTACTAAAATATGAATGAACTTGTGATCTCACAATGGATATTTTGTACAGCCTCGTATTATACATATTATTGCATTCACACTAAAAATTTATATGATAAGAGAGAATATTAAGGTAATCGATGGAAAAGAAGAAGGGATAATCGTACTCAGCGACTACTGAGTAACCAGTCGCATCTTGGACATTGCAGAAAATGGTTCATCTAGGGATTCAGTATTTTAGCTTCAATAGAATTCTATTGCTCGTTATCGGCTTGTGGCCTTATCAACAATCTAAATTCACACGATTTCAATTTATTTTCTTTTCTACTATTCTGACATCGGGTATTATATTTCAGGTAAGAATAGAATATAGCAATATTGTGTGATAAGGTACCATTTTGCAAATCTTCATTATCAAGTAGTTTATTTCATTATTATGTAATATAAGTGTTATATACATTTATAATTGTTTATAAGCGTGTAATTAAAAATAAAATTATTATTGATAGTTGACAACTCTAATGACATCAAAATGTACTTCAAATCTCGTCAGCAAAGTCCTGTCTTCCACATTTTTCTCTATTGTGTGCATGATAAAATATAACTCATTCTATTTTAATATTAAAGCTGTAAGTTGACAACTTACACAATATATGTTTTTACAACATAACCATCAGTGTCAAATGAATCTTTATTATATATTAAAAAATTGTTATATATTATTATATACAAAGACAATACATGAAATTATTGGAATAACAGGTAAAGGATTTATTAATACAACTTGAGCATATATGTAATCAAGTAAAAGATAAAAACGAAGTTGCTATCATAGAAGAATATAATTACACTGCAAGACGTTACACAATTATACTCACAAGTAACATAATATTCTCAGATCTATGTCCTCTCTCTCTCTCTCTCTCTCTCTCTCTCTCTCTCTCTCTCT